TTACTCCGGTGTGCCTGTAATAATACATGATGTTTGCATAGCAGCTGTGCCCTGTAGGGTCAAGTACATCCCATTTTGCAGACAAGATCACTTAACTGCAGGGAATTCTGCAGGGACAATAGTAAGCAATGGCCACTGGTTTGTTTTTCACATGCTCAGTTGGTGAGTACATGAGAAAATTGGTATCAGTTGGTATCATTCTCTCAAGATGAGATTCTTCTTGCCTTTGCGAAGCAGCTGGCAACCATGGCCAGTGATGAGTATTTTTGCTTTTGTGTGAGTACATGGAAGAGTTGGGGACAGAAACCGGGAAACCCACTTGCATGACTTCACAGAATTATCTAGGTTGGAAAAGACTTTGAAGATCATCCAGTCCAACCGTTAACCCAGCACTGACAGTTCCCAACTACACCAGATCCCTCAGCGCTGGGTCAGCCCGACTCTTCAACCCCTCCAGGGATGGGGACTCCACTACCTCCCTGGGCAGCCCATTCCAACACCCAACAAGCCCTTCTGGAAAGAAATGCTTCCTAAGAGCCAGTCTAAACCTTCCCTGATGCAATTTGAGAACATTCCCTCTTGTCCTATCGCTTGTTACTTGGTTCAAGAGATCTTAGGGACGTAGAAACTGGAAGAGACCTTGGAGATCATCTAGTCCAACCCACACTGCTCAAAGCAGGGTCAGCTACAACAGCTCGGGGTTGTATCCAGTCAGGTTTTGTATATTGCCAAAGATGGAGACTCCACACCCTCTCTGGGCAGCTTGTTCCAGTGTTCAAACACCCTCCCCCAGCCCAGAAGCTTTAAAGGCCTCAAATGTTCTCATTTCTCTGCTGTTGATTCCCTCATACAAGAGATGCATATGTGTAGAATAATGACCCAAAATCTCCCTTTACAAGGCTTAGTAACCTGTTGGTGCCTTAGTGAGTGAAGTATCCATAAATAATTGAGCTTTCTCCGCTGAAGCAGGGTGACCCTTGGCCTCAGTATTATTAATCTTATTTAATAAAGGATGTTCTGGGGTTACATTCAGGATCAAGAAGAGTTTCGTTAATGCTGGAGAACGGTACTGGTATCATAGCCAGTTAATGTGCCTGCTCCTACTAATTTTAAATGGGATTGTCAGCTGCTCATCTGGCATTGTTCCTCCAGCCTTGCATAATCATTTGCGGATATATGCAAGGGTTTCAATAGTTAACATTTCAGCTTTTACAAATCATCAGATTTCCTCAAGAACAATGGATTTGGTAATTAGTAGTCTGCAGCAGAAAACTGGAGGTGGAAAGAAAACAGTATTTAGGTGATGATAAGCAGTGTAGAATGGGCCAAAACCCGTCTGAACCTTTTTTGGTTCTATTTCAACCAAAGTTCAGCGACGGGAGAAAAGGAAAATGCATCTAAGGAATACTGGTGGATCCAGGCTAGTTTAACCTTCATGGATTAATAGCTCATATGAAACTGTTTTCAGTGAAATTGCAGGAAGTGGTCTGAGGCCAAAAGGGAATAATGACTCAAGGAGACATAATTTCTAGGGAGGAGCTGAGGTCCTGCAGTTCTGCTTTGGAGGCAACACAAGCCACAGAATGAAATTCCCTGAAGTTTCAAGGTTAGCAGAGAAGCTGGTGGCTGCAGGAGAGAAATCTGAGGAGGGAAACAGAAAATACAAAACGATCTCTGTGGGCTTTGAAATGTTTTAATGGTTGCTGTGCTCAGATAACGGACAGGCAGAAGAGGGATGTAGGGAGAGGTTCTGTCATCTTGACATTCTACCAGATGAGAAGACAGTGATGGCCGTGCACAGCTTGCAGCACTCCCATTGCCACTTCTGATGGTTTTCCATCAATACACTCACCTGTGAGAATTATGAGCCAGCTGTTCACAAAGACCAAAGCGCACCATTACAAATCAAGCCCACCAAATCAGCAGAGGCACAAAAGTTAGCTCTAGCCTAAGTTTAATCAGCAAATCTCTTTGGAGTCAGTGGAGAGAAGTACCTCCGGAGGGCAATTCAGAGCAGGAATCTGACCGCAAGAGCAGCATTAACCTTCATGACAATTCTCCCTTTGCCAGGAGTCAATGGGATCAATTCGTAGCTGAGCGGAGAAGACTTATGCTGGCTATGAAGCAGTCCCGGTATCAATAAAACTACTACAGTGTGTTCTCTGTATCACAGAACTACCATATGTCTCCACTTACAGGGATTGAACGTGGGGGCTGTGGAGGGAATTGCTTTCCTGGGCAGGTTAATGTAACAAAAAGTGAGCAGCTCTGCAACCCTTAATCTCCCAAAAGCTCAAAGTCTCAGCCCCTCTATGCTTTACTCTGTGCTGTGCTTCATTATGGAGTCTTTAAACACCTAAGTTAAAGATAGAGAAAGTAATTTAAAAAGAAAACAGAACTTTGGCTCCTTAGTTGGAATTTCAGAGAAGTAAGGTTCCTCTTGAGTTAAACTTATTAGATTTTTGTGAGGGTTGTTTATATAGTATTACAAAGTCCAAGCGCTGTGGAGTAGACACCCAGAATTAATACCCAGCTCTAGAATATTTAATAACTCAAGATAAATTAAGGTATTTAGAATTGTGAGTTTTAAACATTAGGGCATTTTTTTCCTTTTTATTTTTCTTCCAAATACAGAACTCCTATTTCTAATTTAGTAACAAAATCTGACAGTCCTGTTCTTATTTTTATAAGAATCTTACTCACAGTACTCCAGGAACTGCAGCTTCAAGAAGAAAACATAAATGAATGGTTGGACTATATAAAATTACTTTCATTTAATACCTTGGGTTTGGGGGTTGTTTTGTTTTGGTTTTATCATCAAGAGGTATCCAATACCAATTTTCTAAAGTATCCAATGCCAATTTTCTTCATTTTAATTATGTCTGGAATATACTGTTCGTTGTAAACAAAACACAGGCAGATTTTAGCTCAGGGATTTGAAACAGTCTAGTGGGCTAAGACACACACTCTATATTTCCATTCATTTACTCATAGAAGTTTGTCAGGACTCGCCAGATACCTTTGAATAATCTGGACTTTTCTTCGTGTTATAATTTTTCTTTTCCTTGTTGAATTAATATTATAAACACATTAATGGAGCAGTTGGTGAAGAGAAGATAAGCTGTTTCTGACAGATGCTTTGCTGCCGTAAATCAGCATAGTGCCACTTACATCAGCGAAGCTACTATTTACCCCAGCTGAACATCTCCTCCTTCAGTTCTAATATTAACTCAGTTAAAAATAGGAGATTTATATTTAAACCTCTGCTTCCTGAAGTGACAGTAGGTGGGCCAACTTGTAACATGATCAACATTTATAACATTATCTCTACTGGAATCCATTTATGTCAGCTCCTAACAATCAAAACATAATGGCTTTTTGGAATTACCATTATTTAAATTTTACACAAAAGCAAGAATAATAATTTAAAAATAAAAAAATAAAAATAAGAAGAGCCCTGATATAACCTGCATGCATGTGCATAAGCAGCATACAAGGCAAAAATGTTGGCATCCAGGTATGCAACCCATCCCCTGAAGCAGTGCTTTTGGGTGGTGGTGTTGGCTTTATATACGGGAAGTACCAGTGGTGAGAGGGGGATCTCAGAGCCCTGTTGTCAATGCATAACTTGTGATTTAGCTTTGTAATAAACTCAGAGACATTTGAGGTGCCCAGAGACTGGCAGACAAGATGCGGGATATGTAGGAAACCCATTTCTGACGGGATTGCGGCTGAAGGACAGTCAGGAAAACTAGGGCATATGTAGTGACACTGGACAGTTTTATGCGGACGGCTGAGTTGGGCTGTGTTTTACATCTGTAGTCACAGTTTTTCTGTGTTTTTGATAACACCTGTGGGCGTGCTAATTGTGACCTATCAGAAGCTATAGGCCTTTAGCAAGATCGTATACTGGCTCCTTTTCACTGCTGTGCCACGTGTTAACACCTATCAGTGTCGTCACTGAGTGACATTCCCCAAACATTCTTCACAGTAAACTTGTGTCTACAAAACTGAGAGTTGTGTTCAAGTCCCCATTAATTAATGAGCTGCTAAAACATTGTTCAAGATATTACCAAACTATACTGAAAACTGTCTGAACAATACGGGTCATGGGACTGAGGCAGTCATTTTTTGATGTATGTTGAAGTAATTGGATTTATCCAGGTGTCAGACACAGGGGTCTCTCTCCTCTAATTTCTTTTTAAAAAAAAACCTGTAAAACTACAGTATTTTAGTGATCTCTTAAAATAAACAAATATGCTTTATTACCATCATTAAGTGTGAAATCTAGGAAAAAAAAAATAATAAAACCAGTAGTTATTAGAAGGTCTGTCACATAGAAAGCATGTTTTCTTTTTCTCCAGATTTAAATATGTGTGCATACTAACTTAGGTCCAGTTTCATTCCACGCAGCTTGAAGCACCTCGCATTTAGTGTACAGTTGCCCCTCATCCAGCTTTTTTGAGATCACATCTAAACTGTGAAGCCAATCATGGATGGTGGCATGCCCTATGTATCTTGGGTAGGAACAAACCTGGACCGTGCCATAACTCTGTGCTGGTTGCCCAGGTTCCTGAGGAAATCAAAGCATGGGCATGGTTGTCCTGTAGATATGGAGGAAGATATCCCTTTCTCCATATCAGTGCAGACACAAAGACATTTATCAGCTGCTGTCTAATGAGATGGTAGCCTGGGGAGAACATGCGGCTGATGTAGGTACTTTCAAGGTCAAGTTGGATGGGGCTCTGAGCAACCTGATCTAGTTGAAGATATTCCTGCCTGTGGCAGGGGAGTTGGACTAGATGTCCTTTAAAGGTCCCTTCCAACCCAAAGTATTTTCTGTTTCTACTTTAGTTAAGTGCTCACAGTTAGGGGGAAATCTGGGTCATTGAACTTATGAAGGATCCTACATGGACAATCCTGACAGCTGCCATGCAAACAACCTTTACAAATCCCTGCCGGTCTTTTCTGACACCCAACACCTGGCTCCTTTTCTGTAGTGAGGATGGCTGGACCATTGCAGTGGCGCACTGATTTTTGTGGATGGTGAACACAAAAAGGGGATTGAGAAGAGACCACCCGAGTTATTCTGACACATGACTTGAGTGCTTTCTATTCTTAGACAGATGAGGATCTGAAGTATGTAAGTACGCTATCATTGTTGTTTTTTTAGATTTATTTGTAAAAATGAGAGAAAGAAATAAAACTCTTAATCTATCATGGTGTGGGATTTATAGATTTATCATTTTCTTTTGATGTGTGTTTATACTTAAGTGGAGTTGATAAATCAAGCTATTCCTCATGATATTTTAAAGCATCATTATTTGTCTCTTGATTCCATCCTTGTTTTTCTTTAAAGAAATGAAAAGAGAAAAAAACATTAAATTATATTTGCAGTGACATTTTAAATTTATTGTCTAATAAATAGTGATCACTTGGAAAATCCATTTTTTTCTCAACTGTTAACAAGAGATTTAACCAAAGTGATTGAATCAAGAGGAGAAATCATCCCATGCTCCTGAAGCTTGAATGAATGACATTGTCAATGTTAATGTGCTGTTCTGGATGTTCATTTGAAGTATAAGAAATAACCTAAATATAATTTCATGGCAGCTCGTATACTACTTAGCATAATTTATTCTTTACTACAGAGTCTCCATTCTCAGTGTTTCACCAGCATTTCCAGCTCACCAAATGCCTACCAACACTCACCATTTTACTCTTCCACGCTCCCAGTACAAGCAAAGATAACACTTTTTTTTTTTTTCCCCCAACAAATACAAACTGTATGTTGACTTCCAAATTGACAACTATTTCTTGACTTCCACCAACGCTTTTGATGAATGAGCGTAACCACCACTGATTTTACAATATCATGTGGGTCTACTACTTCTGACTCATTTAATGATGCTGCATAAGATGCCTTTTTGAACTGTATTATCCCCCATAAAACATTATTTGTCCTTAACAAAAAATAAATAGAACTTGACAGCCACACAGTACTGTACCTCAGTTTTACAAACGAGTGCATATACCAAAGTATTTCAGAGAGAACAAAAGAAAATCAATAGAAATTTGAAATGTTTGTAAAGTGTTACATATACCAAGGCTTTAACTAGCCATAGATAAAGGTTTAGAAACACAATTAAGTTTATTTCTACAACTTCAGGTCAGGAACTCTGTACTTCAAAGTACAGAAGCAATCAACAAGACATGTAATGGCCTGACTTGTAACGAAAAGGCTAAGAGTCCTATGACATTTCTAGTATTGAAATCCAGCACAGGAGAATGTCTTTACTCAGAGAGCACTCAAAACTATAGTTTTATGTTTCAAGGATGTACTAATTCTCATTTTGTTTTAAACAATAAGCATATGCTTGTATTCTTCCCTCGGTCCAGGTTATAATTACGGATTTCAGATTGTTGTGTTTATATCGTGATGAGGCTAGCCTAAATTTTCTGGCTGTGTTGACTGATTTGGTAGAGATTGGTATAGCAATACTGTAATTATATCAATACTCTTTTAATTTTTTTGGGGGGAGTCCTAGAGATATTTCAATAAAATAAACTATAGCCTAGGCATCTCCACTATGTTAGAAGGAGAAAACAAGGTTTTTCAGGTCAAATTAAAAGTGTGGTGAGGTAATAGTAGAGTACTCAGAATTCTTTTCTGAAAAAAAAAAAAAAAAAAAAAAAAAAATATGCAAAGGATGTTGATGATGCCATGAAATATCTGCATATCTCCAGATAGGAGCTTTTGTATCATAATTCATCCAAGCTCCATTAAAATATCGCATTCCTGAAAGAAAAAGCCTGATATGTATCAGAACTTTCTTAAAACGAGGAATAAAATCTCGATTGCCACAAATTGTACTTTTTTAAGAGACCTGTCAACCTAACCTAGACTTTTTGATGGTTATGGAAACAAGCCAAAATTATATTAAAAATTGATGTGCTGAGGGTAACCCCTGCCAGGTGTATTGCATATACCCTACTGTGTACATGTATATTTATGGATATGTCTATAAAACATATCCAGTCAAGGAAAAAAAAAAAAAAAAAAAAAAAAAAAAAGGTGTGTCTAATATCTGTTTGTCCATGGCTAGAACATACACCATTAATACATTGTCCTAACAAATGAAGGTGAAGGATGTAAATAAAGGGTTATTCCCGTAGTGATTTAGTAGGTCAAAGACGTTAATCCGTACTACATATCTGCTGGAAAAGAGTGAATGGGGGATCCATTCATCTTGGTTCCCCCTGGTTACTGTCTGATAGTAAATTGCATCCACCGCTAGCTGTGTGGGCAACCCTGACAACTGGGGGGAATTTGAGTTATCTGAACCATGAGTGTCCTCCCATGTCACCAGATTGGGGATTTACATGTGCAATAGGAATCGGTTTATAACCGTGCAGAAATGCAGAAGAGTAGTAAATGGATCTTATCAGTATGTCTGGCCATTTTGAGTTCCTGTAGAAACATTGCCACGTAAGGATCTGCTCTGAGGTGCTCAGATATCAGCGTGCTTAGCCTGGTAGACAGACCTCTGTATTGGGAAAGCAAGGTCAGTGCTCCTGGGACGATAGGAGGCATAAAGATTCAATAATAATATCATATTATTCTATCAAATGATGTCTGCAGAACACTTTAAAATCATTATGTGAAGGACAAAGGATGCTATATATAGAGAGAGGGTAAAGGCTGACATTTCTACGGCGCATTTAATTAACAGAATTCCATGCAAGCCTGGTCTTTGGAAGAAAAATAATCTTTGGTTGCACACTGGGCACATTGAGCTTCCATAATAAACACCTGTAAAGCATCTGCTGAATCAAGACTGTTGTTTTCCTGGTGCCACATGCTCAAAGACCCCAAGGTTGAAAGACCTTCTATGAAAGTGAAATCTGTTTTGCTTACTATGAGTAGGGGGTTGATGGAGACAAGAAACAGGAGCAGTAATTGATCGTTTTTATTAGCAGTGCTTCTCAAGCTTTTGGAGCTCTTGACATAGCTGTATTTCAGTGAGACAATACGTCTAGGTGGGAATATTTTCCCTGAGCCAGTACAAGCACTGTTCATGGGCAGTGTTGTGGTTCCTTTTGTTAAGGAGTGGTCAAATGAGCACTAATTAGCACATTTTTTATTGGTTCCTACTACAAAAAAATGGACATTTTCTCATGGCATTGCTTCGAAGTATGCAGACTGCAAAAATAACACAGCACAAAATAAAACCACTTGTTTCTCTGTGTCAGGGTTCATCCCTATTGTTACTTTGTGGTTCAAGGAAGGGGGACCATCAAAGAAGAAAGTTCAAAGATAAACCTGGAATGACCATCTTTGTCGTTATCTAAAGGCGTCACTATAGCTGCAGATGTCTTATTGGGACACAGAGCTTTTCTGTTTATATACATCTCAGAGGGAAGAACAAGTCCACCTTCTCTGACAGCTCTTGGAAACAGTGTGAGGAGAGGTCGCCTGAATTTGCTAAAACCCACATTAACTCCAGCTAAACGTTAGCTGAAGTTTCCTTTCTCCACGTCATCACTTTTATAGTGGGGATTTAGCACTGCCTATTCTGCACTAGATACTCTCACGCAAAGAAATGGGATGAGGTTCCTGGCTGGAGGCTTTTCTATCCTTGCAAGTTCCCTTCACGTGTAATGCCGTTGCAGTCGCTGTACGTGAGCACTGAAGTGAACTGTTATCAGCCACTTCAGAATATCCCTGCTAAGGAGGAGGTTAATCCTTCCTGGGTCCCCGACTCAGGTTTCTCCTGTCAGCAGTGTGATGGACACCACAGCCAAATCCAAACTGCCTGAGAGGTCAAGGTATGGGCCACGTGGCTTCTCCCATTCTTGAATTTTCCTACTCAAAGTGCACTGTGATTTCCTTCAACCTGAAGCCAGAGGCCATATGGACAACACCGACATACTCATTGGGATTCTCCTGTCATCTGCTCCCACCTTTCTCCTTTCTACTGTCCCATTCCTTTATCCTTGCTTGATTTTCCTACCTGTGGCATGAGTGGGGAAAGTGAATTTTTCTGCTTTTCTCCTTGTTTCTGTACTACAGGAAGGCAGGGGTTTAAGTAGGAAATCAACAGTGTGTGTATCACAGCTGAGGTTTGAGAATAAGCCTCCATAATATCCATTCTATCTACCCTCTTCTCACAAGTAACTCTGCACTGAGGCAAAATAGCAATTTCAGGCTCTTTAACCCTCACAACAATATGTTTCCCATGTCGTATTTTCTCCTCAGGTCTTACTGAAGTTGGATCTAGGTAGACAGATTGGTCTTCTCTTGGCCACTGCTCTGAAGAGAACTTCACACTGTTTTGTCCTCTCTGTATCTAGATCTGTGCCGGTTTTGGTGGCTCCGACTACTATGGCTGCGTGAGATGCTCCTTGAAAAATGTTCATCTGCCCCTCCAAATCCATGCCTGCCTCCCAGGTCACCCTGTTTCAGTAAAATGTTCGCAAACTTGGGGTGAAGGGTGTTTGTGTCAAAGGGCTGCCCGAGCCACAATCTTCTGCTGTGTCAACTTCCATTGCACTTTGGTGGCCTTCAGCTGATAGGAGTGATTTGAAGTTCCATGCCATTAGAAATAGTTAGGGAAGTTTCTACAGCAAGAAGGCTCGCTGTGGAGCTTGCAAAATAGATTTTTTTTTAAGCAGTTTTCTGAGCACTCTTTTTCCCCACCTGTGTGGCCTAGATAGCACAATCCTCAGTGTATCAGCAGATAAAGCAATTATGTATTTTAAGCTGGTCCTCAAAAATGCACCCAGCCTTGTACAAATACCTTTACCCTTTGCATATAATAAAGATGCAAGACCTTTCCACCTGCCTCTTATCTTCCTGTTGCAGATAGGGCAAAAGGGAAAGAGGCCTGCTGCCATGAGAAGATGAACTCTTGAATTTGGTTTGTGATCTGCAGGACAGAAACAGTTAATTCCTCTGAAAGCATTCTTTTCAATAGAGATGGCTTTTGAAAACAGAATTTAATGAAATCCAGCATCCTTTTCATAAAATATTTGAAGGAAGTCTTGTTCGATAGCACTTGTCAATCAATCCTTTGCTATTGTTACTTTTTTTTTTTTTTTTTTTTTTTTCCTTTTTTCCCCCCTGTTTTTTAATTGGTGTCT